CTCCTGGGGCCGCCGCGCTTCCCTGGGAAAGGGAAGGCTACTTGCTCCGTTGCACGGAGGGGCACACTGAGCCCTCCGCGGGCAGGAGAGAGGGGTTCGAAGCCACGGCAGGGGTCCTCCTCCGCCAGAGGCCCCCCCCCCCCTTCTGAAGGATCTATCGCCAAGGGACGGGCACAGTGGCTGTGGCTGCGTGTGGGCACCTTCCTCATCGCCCGGCACATGCTTGAGGCCCTGCTGGGGAGTGGGCGCTTCTGGATGGAGAAAGTTCAGGGGTCACCAGCTTATAGGATGCCAGGGCTGGTGCCCAGGAACTGCTGGCACCAGACGGAGCCGGGCAAGCCGCTGCTTGTTCCAGCTCACAGACAGAGCTGTCGGGGACCTGGGTGGCTGGATCAGGTCTGTTTGCAGGGGACCGGACCCCAGAATTGCCTAAGGATGGTTCTGAATCTTTTTCTTGCAAAGTCCGGTGCAGTTCCCTGGGGAGATCGTGGGCTTGGTGGTGGTAGAGGAAGGTGGGGGTTTGGTGTTGGGGAGGGAGCTGTGGACAGGGGCTGAGCTGCTAGGGCTGCATGGGACAGGGCAGGAGCTGCCACGGCTCCTAAGAAGTGAAGGGTGGCATGTGAAGGAGCAGCAAGTGGCCTCCCGGTGGCAGCGGCGGAGAATGGGAGGGGAAGCCGGGGAGAAGAGAAGCGGAAAAAGGTCTGCAGGGTCGGAGAAGGGGCTGCAGGTGGGGTGAGGGAGGGCAGAGCAGATCTGCAGGGGAGGAAGGGCCCCACGGAGAGAGGAGGCAGGGCTGAGAAGGCAACTGGGAGGGCGAGGTGAGGAGCAGCAAGGCCAAGACAAGGGGCTGAGGAAAGAGAAGTAAAGGGAGCACGTTTTATTTTTAAATTTTATTTATTTATGCATTTTAATCCTCACCTGAGGGTATGCTTTTATTGATTTTAGAGGGAGAGGAAGGGAGAGGGAGAAAGATTGAGAAACATCGATGTGAGTGAGAAATGTTGATCGGTTGCCTCTTGTACATGTACCTTGACCTGGGGTCGAACCCGCAACCTAGGTATGTGACCTGACCAGGGACTGAACCTGCAACGCTTTGGTGTTGGGGGATGATGCTCCATCAACTGAGCCACCCAGCTCGGGCAGGGAGGGGGGCTAGTTTTAGACGCGGCAGCCCGAGGGTCCGCTGACACCAAGGTCTCCGTGGGACTTTGCTGGTGGGGAAGGTGGACCAGGATGGGAGGCAGGTGAGGAGGGACAGCATCTCCGAGCCCGAGCCCTTGGCAGAGATTCCTTCCCGGTGCCCCCAGAGGCCGAGGCCGGTGGGTGGGAGGAAGAAAAGGAGGAGGGAGAAGAGGCAGCCCAGCCAGATACAAGCGAGACTGTTAACCCTCGGGTGCCCATTCAGATGCTCCTCTGAGGCCCCAGGGGCAGGGCATCTTCAAAGTTGGCTGCACTGTCCTCACACAGATGCCTGAAATAGCTCCAAAAGCCAGGCAGTCCCGGAGGCTAAGCATTGCCCCCCCAGCCCCCGCCCTTAGCCATCATTGCCTTTAAGTGCCTGCACAAGGATGTCCTCCTGAGCACCCTGCCCCCTGCTCCCCGCTCCCCGGATGGAGCCATGCTGTGCCTTCCCTGCAGGTCCCCCCTTCCCTCTCTGCCACCGATTTCTCCCCATCTTTCCAGGCCCCCTGAGGCCCCTCCTCCCTGCAGCCTCCCTGGTAGCCCAGCCAGGGCCTCTCCTCCCGGGTGAGAGCTGGCGAACATTGAGCTTTTAGTTATATGTAAATCAGCGTGTCCCTGTGGGCTGTTTCATAGCCTCCTTGTGTTTTTCCAATGCGCTGTTTATTGGCAGCATTTGTCTCATCCTCTGGGTTACTGAGGCAGAGCCCAGAGCCTAGGAAGGTGCCAGCCGTCACCCCACCCTAGCAGCATTTCTCTGAATCTGGGGGAGACTTAGGGCGGGTGGGGTGGCTTAAGGGGTGAAGGGGAGGGAGAGGGGAAATGACAGGGTGTCAGGTGCCAGTTCTCTGACTGTACTCTGGGGGTGAGCAGTTTACTGGGTTGAAAGAGAGGAGAGAGAGAGCTCAGAAAACATCCTGGCCGTATTAAGAGCTGGCTGGCTGGCTGGCTGGCTGGCTGTGCAGCCTAGAGTAAGACCGCTAGGCAGGTGTCAGCCAGGACGACTGACTGGTGCTGGCATTGCCGCTGCCACCTGTTGATTTTGACAACCAGACATGGAGGGCTCCAAAGGTCTCTAGCACGGGACAGGTTCCCAGCGAAACTGAGTTTGTTTCCAGTAGCAGAGCCAGACCTGTGTGGGACCAGGTGGGAGGAAGGGCTGGGCCCAAGGGATCTGTCTCTGGCTCACAGTCTGGAAGCCAATGCAGGTACATGAACTTGAGAGGAATGGGCAGCTCCTACGATGCCTGGCCCCATGTTTGATGTTGCAAGAACAGGAAAATGGGTAGAAGCAAGTCCTGCATTCACGGAGTTTCTTATGAAACTGGAATTTAGGCTGGTAGGCGCCCTTCCAGGTCCTCATTACAGTTCAATGTGTAGTCAGGCTTGCCTGGGTAAGTCTGGGAAGGCTTCTTGGAGGAGACGACACTCAGGTTGTCATCCAGGGAGAGCAAGGTTGTGCTGGAGCTGTTAGGCAATCCCCAGAAAGCTGAATTTGGGGAATGCTGCATCCTGGGGTGAGGGATAGCTGTAGCCTTGTAGGTGTGAGGGCATGGGGAGAGTAAGAGCTGAGGAGAAATGGTGCTCTCTCTGTCACAGACATGGCTGGGCCCCCGGCTACTGCTGGTCTGTCTCCTGGTGAGCAGGAGTCTTACCGAGGAGGAGTTGAAGCACTGTAGCCACATGATCGGGGACGGACACCTGCAGCTCCTGCAGCAGATGGTGAGTGTGTGGCCAAGCCTATCCTACCTTCTCCCCAGGGGGAAACTGAGGCAAGAGTCAGGGAGAAGGTCAAAGAGATGGGTGGCAGGCGGAGAAATAGGGCTGTGCAGGACATGGCTCCCCTGATGCTCCCCTCATTGACCTTCTGAAGGTCAGGGCCTCTGATGCCCCTGCAGGCACGGGCACGGTGGGCTCCCGGCTGGTTGCCTGGGTAAAGGATTGCCTGGAATGTCAATCACGGATTCTCCATGTGGAGCCTGCTGTCTGTCCCTCAATGGGAGGCTTCTCTGAGGAGCCAGCCCCGTCTGCCTTGCTGTGTCCAGATGTTGCCGCTAGCTCCCAATTGGGACACCAGCCTGGCACGAGGGCCTCCCCAGATTTGGAGCGGAGGCCCCGGCCTAAATCTCAGCCCTCCGCCCTCGTAGCCCTGGCTCCTGCTCGAGCCCTGCATTCAAGGAGTTTCTTGTGAAACGGGCTAGGATGGCCGGCTCACCCTGGCCATGAAGGAGCCCGTGCCTCCTGGCCGGGCCAGCAGAAGCATCAGCACTTCCCAGCGTGGTTCAGGCAAGCAGAACCGTTTGCTGTCATGGCCGCTGTTCTGCTCAGAAGAAAGCTCACCATCCCTCTGGCCAGCCAGGCGGGTGGGGCACCACTGGTGAAAGCCAGCTCCCGGGTGCTGAGCTTGGGGCCTGCAGGCTGGGCCTCCTGCCTCTTTTCCTCCTGCATGTCGCTGCCATAGGAACCCAGGGGAGACCAGGAGCTACTGTCTGAGGCTTAGAATCACAGAACCATTGCTGGGGGGTGGAGAGATGGAAAGGGTGGGGACAGGGGCACAGCAGGGGTTTTCAGGGCATTTAACCCCAGCTCCTACAGATCCTGAATCCCCAGAACTTGTCTAGCCTCTGCTTGAATTCCTGCCGTGACAGGGAGCTCACTACTGCCCACGGGAGCTTATGTCATGGAGGGGGAAGTAGAAGGAAGAGACTGCTTATCGTTTGCCAGCCCTCCCTTGGGCATGTGAGAGGCACAGGTCTGCCTCTATCTTCTTTCCAGGTGTGGTTGGGAGAAAATGGATGAGGCTCAAACCCTGATCCACCCAGAAACTCTAGTCCCCATTGTTAGGCGAGCTCAGCTGAGCTGTGGATACCCTGCCACCACTGGCCGCTCTCTCTTACAGATTGACAGTCAGATGGAGACCTCGTGCAAAATCCCCTTTCAGTTTGTGAATGAGGACCAGTTGGTGAGTTAACGGCTACTTATAGGACCCAGAGGGTATGCCCTCCTCGGGGTGGGTAGAGTGGGAGCGTGAGGGCTGGAGAAATCCTAGAGCTGGGCAGGGTGAGGTATGAGGATCCCTGGGTGCCCAAGTCTGGGGTGCCAGGGTCCAGGGCTGGGGAGGGAGGGCGGCTCAAGTCCCCTGCAGCTCCCTTTCCTGGCCCGGCACATGCCAACGTCTTCCTGTGGCCCAGACACTTTTCTAATTTAATCTTGATGCAACCGTGGTGTGGCACACAGCCTTGTTTATGGTCCCCAGAGAGATGAAGGGAGCACAGCTAGTGAGCGGTGGAGGTCTGACCTGCACCCGGGCAGGCCGGCTCTGGGGCAAACAAACGCTTCTGGCACAGGCTTTGCTTATGGAAGGCACCTCCGTCTAGCAGACAGACCAGCAGCCAGGGGATCGGTCCAGCC